GAATATAATTAAAGTTGTGATTGTATTAAATTATGTTATATTATAACAATAGTTGAAAGTTATTTTGATACTTGATTATTTATTTTTTAAAAGTATTATGGATAAAATATGATAAATTTTATTAACTTTTTAAAAAATTATATGATGTATAATTAATAAAATATATAATATTTACTATTTCTTAATAATTTAAGTTTTTCATGTTTCTTATAATAGGTTAATTTTTTCTGAGTTTGTTGAGAGAGTAATTCATAAGGAGAAAATAAATTCTTAATGTTTTTAATAAAATCTTTAAATAAACAAACCAGAGATTAAATTTAAATAAAATATTATAAATTATGATATAATAAAATAAAATAAAATAAAATTTTAATAGTTAATTTTATAATTATATTAAATTTAGGTGTTGTTCATAAAATCACACTTATAAAGCTTTAAAATGATGATTTTAGTTTTGTATATAAAATTGTTATAAAATTATTGTGATTTTTTATAAATTAAAAAAAATTATTTTAAAAAATTATTTCAAAAATATATATATACAAATACTATATAATTATTTAAAAAAAACTTCTAATTACAATTACAAATACGCTTTAAATTTATAATTAAAAATACATATAATTTTAAAGCTAGATTACAGATGCTATTGTGCGCAGTTTATAATTAAAAAGGGAATTCAAATATTTTAAGCTAACTGCAGGTTGGTTCACCCTACTCACTTCACCACCGTCAGATTCAACTTTTGAAAGTGAGAGGGGCCCACTTAAAAGTGGTCCCACGGCACTGATTTAACCGTCACCGATTGCGCTGTGACTTGAAAATCACATGCAAACGTCAATACGCGCCGCCTAATTTTCCGTTACAACTAGCATAGTAAAAGACCAAACCTAACCTTTTCCTCGCTCTGGCGCCACCACTCATTCAAACCCCACACGACGTCGTTACTGGGGGCCTGGAGCAGCCCTCCACTTTTAAAAATTTAAACTTTAGTATATATGAAAGTATTCTTTCCCAATCTTTTTTGATGGAATCCTGAAATTTTTAAATACTCTTATGGTTGTCATGTAAAACTTAAAAATATTTTCATTTAACTCTTAATAACTTTTATATATCTTAAAATACGGATAAAAGCTATGAAGAAAACATAATTTCTTGCTTAAATAATTTAAAGAAAAAATATTTATTAGTTATACCTATAAAAAAAATTAAGTGGAAAAATATTTAAAACAACATTTTTTTAATAAATCTTCATTAAAAATAACTAAAATATCCTAATTTTCAAAGTATGAAGAAACTATTTTGGTATTTCTTATTGTGTTTTATTAAAATGATGTAATTTTAAATGTTTTTTCACTTAATTTTTTTTAGATCCAATTGCTAAATGCTAATCTCAAAAATTTTATATGCCCATAATGATTTTATAGTCTTTACCTTCAAAAAAATAATAAGAAGGTATTCTTAATACAAAATCAATTAATATAATGTAGTTATTTATTAAAGTAAATAAAATGTTTACATAAATGAATATATCTTAACAAAATATATCCATGTCTTATTTTTGTTAAAATTTTTAATAGCATATGAATCAAAATTAAATTTTTCCTTAGTTAAATTAATTAATATTATAAAATATACTTGAGCACCCAAGTTCTCTTACAAAATTTCGCCCCCCGGTCATTCACCCAGTGCAATTCTGCAATTCTGCGCAATCCCAAGGGCATACTCGTAACGCAATATTAAATCCGTAGGCAGTCACTATTTCCGCTGTAATTGATTTTCATTTTTTACTGTACAAAGGAAAAAAAAAAGGGAAGGAAATTCCTTTTTTTTTTTTTTTTGGATGGAAATAAATTTCTTAATTTTTATTTGGTAGGCCTGTGTTTACAAGGTAACCCAGAATGAGAAACCATTGTTGTTATCTCCGAAAAATGGAGCTGAGGATTAATGTTGTCTTCTTTCCTGTAATAAAACCCTAATTTTCTTTTTCCTTTACCTTCATGTTCTGTCTGTCTTTGTCCTTTTTTCTCCTTTTCCCAAGAAGCTGTCTGGTTACCTCATTGCTCTGTTTCAAGTGAAGGAGGAGGAAAAAGAAGAAGAAGAAGAAGAAACAATGGCAGAGTGAAAACAGGAACAAATTTTGGTACAGTGCAGTTCTATCTCTGATTGAGAAGCTGTTGTTTTCAGAAATTGTTTCAGAAACAGTGTTTTTTAGAAACAGATTTTTCTCTTCAATCCAGTTTTCTTCGGCACTTTTTCGTGGATTTCTGGGTTTTGTTTTGTACATTTCCTGGATTTGAAGAAGCTTATGTGGTGAACGAATGCGTGTTTTTGTATCTGTTCTTTTGTTGTTTTTTGTTTGGTTGTTGAGAAAATCGGATGAGAGAGATTGTTGAAAGAATGAGAGATTCATAAATTTTGGATTCTGATACTTTTTTTTTCTCTTTTTGGTTTTGTTTCTGGTTTAAATGCAAGAGTAGGGCTCGTGAATTTTTTTTAACTTTCTTGCGTTTTCTTGGGAACCAAACAACGCTATTTTATTGACTTTTTTGGTGGAAATTTGTTTTCGTATGGATCTTGATTTGATTTCCGGACATTTTGTAGGGACTGAATTTTGTTTCGAGCTTGATTCTGAAGCCCTCTTGCGGAGGGAAATTTCTAAATTCAAATGGAAGTTTACAGTGAAGATCCTTCCAAAAGATTCAATCATTCATGTTGATTTGATCGATATTGTTTGGACGCTGAGAAAATCAAATCAAGGACCTGTTTTTTTTTTCCCTGTTTGGAATTTCCCCGAGAGCAAAAATCCAATCTTTGATCTGAAAATCACTGCTTATTTTCTCTCTGCTTTGTATCCGTAACATCCACTGTTTGACTTGCTAGCTGTGGTATCGGTGGGGAGGTTGGGTGGCTGTCGTTTTGTGATTCTCACTTTGTGTCAACAGTGTTTTGATTCTCCTTCTCTCTGGAATTGCAGAAAAAATAAATCTGGAATCATTTTTTTTTTTTTTAAGTTGAAGGGGGTGTGTAGATCTTCAAAATTTTTTATCTTTTTGTGAAATATTCACGTTAAAATTTCCCAGAAAGTGTGTCAATCTGGTAGATTTTCTCTGATTCTCGAGGGTTTCATATGAATCAGTGAAAAGGGTCTTGTCAGTGAAGTTGATGATTCTCTGAAGGCTGGAATGGAATAGTCATCCATGTCGGGGGCGGGTACACTTGAATCTAACAATGTTGGCAGGACAATAATTGTAACGTTTTGATTCTGTTTTCGTCTGTCTTGAACTTGGTATTAGTATGGGTTTTCAGAATTGGATCTGTTAAGCGAGAAAAACCTCATAGTAGATAGGATATATTTTTGTGTGAAATGAGTCGGGAACAGAAGCTAGGGAAGCAGGAGAAAGGCAGCAGTGATGGGGCTGAGAAGGTGGTAGTTGCAGTCAAAGCATCAAAGGAAATTTCCAAAACTGCTTTGGTGTGGGCTTTGACGCATGTTGTTCAGCCTGGTGACTGCATCACATTGCTCGTTGTCGTCCCCTCACATGGTTCAGGTACTTTTCCCCTGTTTCTATTTGATTTCTATGCTTATGATGATGATGATGTTGATGATGCTAGTAATACTGACGCATCTGTTGATTATAGTTCATACTTAGGACCATTGATTAATTAATTCATTCTCATTACATTAAGTCCCGTAGATCCCATGTTCTTCTGGTGTGAAGAAGGTTGGTACATTCAAGTTTGTCATGAGGAAATTTTGCTCTTATCTTTTCCTTTTGTGTATTTGGGTTGTTGGTGGGACTGTATGTAACCCTCTCGTTCATTGTTTGAATTCAATTCATGCCAGGCATGTGAACCCTGCAGACTTCCAGATCTTGCTTGCAGTCAACTTAGAATGTTATTTGGTTTTCACACACCACTAGTTTTTCATGATTATGTTGTGTTGATCTTAGAAATGGAGGCAGGACAGATGCATCGTAAACAAATATTGCCATGGTTATATCCTGACATTTGTTTTTTCCTAATTGTGCTTTTGCTTGTTTGTCCCAACTCTTCAGGCCGAAAATTATGGGGGTTTCCAAGATTTGCTGGGGATTGTGCCAGTGGTCACCGAAAGTCTAATTCTGGATCAAGTTCAGGGCGGAATGCTGATATTACTGATACATGCTCCCAGATGATTCTTCAGCTCCATGATGTTTATGATCCAAATAAGGTAGTTGGTTGTCCGTATTACCCAATCATTGTTTTATGTCACAGACATTCCAGAGTGTTGATGCTGTCTTCTCTTTCCAACTTAATTTAACAGATAAATGTCAGGATAAAAATTGTCTCTGGATCACCAAGTGGGGCAGTGGCTGCAGAGGCAAAGCAAACCCAAGCTAGTTGGGTTGTATTAGACAAGTAAAGTCTGTTTTCTCTGTGCATCTTTTCTACGTGTTCTGTCTTGACACAAATGCAAACATCATATTTATAGTATGATTAGGTTTAAGGTCATTGTAATTCTTGTCTTCTGATACCTGATTCAATACTTATGTTCTCTCGTTTAACTTGGCTTCTTTGTCTTTTTTGTCTTTTTTGTTTGCTTTTTCTTCTTCAGGCAGCTCAAGCATGAGGAAAAATGCTGCATGGAGGAGCTGCAATGCAACATAGTAGTTATGAAACGATCCCAGGCAAAAGTTCTTCGCTTAAATTTGGTTGGATCTCCTAAGAAGGAAGCTGAGGCTGCTTGTGAGCCAAATTCTGAGATACATGAGGCATCGGAAGAGCATCTAAAAGACAAAAATGGATCAGATTCAATTAGAGGGCCAGTTGTGACTCCAACTAGTAGTCCCGAACTAGGGACACCATTTACTGCAACTGAAGGAGGGACTTCTTCAGTTTCAAGCTCAGAACCTGGAACTTCACCCTTTTTCATCTCAGAAGCAAATGGAGACATGAAGAAAGAGGAATCATTAGCCATTAAGGAAAGTCAGGATCATGAAGAATCTAGTTCTGATGCAGAGAGTGATAATTTATCCTTCTCTTCAGCAAGTTTAAGCTTCCAACCTTGGATGTCAGAATATCTTGCTTCTCATCAATTGCCACAAAACATTGTAGAATGTTCTGGTAGATCCAATGACAAGGCTCAATTGTCAACAACCAGAGCTTTACTAGAGAAGTTCTCAAAACTTGATAGAGAAGCTGGAATTGGAATGTCAAGCAGGCCTGATATTGAATTTAGTGGAAATGTGAGAGAAGCAATTTCACTGTCCAGAAGTGCTCCTCTTGGTCCTCCTCCATTGTGTTCAATATGCCAACATCAGGCACCTGTATTTGGAAAACCTCCAAAGTGGTTCAGCTACGCTGAGTTGGAGCTTGCAACTAGTGGATTTTCACAAGCTAATTTTTTGGCTGAGGGTGGGTTTGGATCTGTTCACAGAGGAGTGCTACCAGATGGCCAGGCAATTGCTGTCAAGCAACACAAATTGGCTAGTTCACAGGGAGATCTTGAGTTTTGCTCTGAAGTAGAAGTCCTGAGCTGTGCTCAGCACAGAAATGTTGTTATGCTGATTGGGTTCTGTATTGAGGACAGAAGGAGACTGCTGGTTTATGAGTATATATGCAATGGCTCTCTGGATTCTCACCTATATGGTACTTCTCATTATCCATGTCTAGAATATGTGCTGCTTAACTGTTACCACTGCACCCACTCATGCTGATAAAAAGTCACCACAGGTGTTAACATGGGTCATCATCCAAGTATTCTTTGAAGTTCTTGCTATCTTTGTTTATAATTGCCATTCCTTTTAACCATTTATTTCTGATATTGAACTTCCAAAATTCCTAACATCATATTATTTGAAACAGTTTCTTAGAACCTGTTCATCTCCTCACCTTCCTCCTTTGCTGTCCCAAGAAAACCCATAACTGAGAGTTTAAACT